TCTCTCGTCGATTTTATTTTCCGCGAGTGAACGATACATCGTCGTCGTCATAGTCTCTCGTTACAAGAGACGCTAAATTCGAAACTCATCTGGCGGACCCGCGGGATCCATCTGGCGGAATCATTCGAGCAAAATCGAAATGCTCCGGCCGGATCAATTCTGCGCGGAGCTGTCGTAGTTTGTCCAACTAGAAATTTATCCTATAGTCCTGATCAAGTTGACCTCAATCAGTTATCTGGTTTGTATTAGGTGTACAAATGAATAAGCCAAATGTTTCGGCTAAATACAAGGTTCGTTTGAAAAATAAGAGTAAAACGAATTTTTCAATCAGAGTATCCGCCGTTACTCTCTATAACTTTGAGTCATCTTTCGGGCAGATTGTGGATTTCAACTCGGAAAAATGCTGTGTGTCTTTGGACATGATGAAGTTGTCAAGCCATTTTCGGGTCACATCCATTGATTGGTAGTGCGTATCGGATAAGGCGTATTGCATCGATCGGAACAAGTGGTTGTCAGAAGGAGCTACATCTGGTAAACATCTCGAGGGCTGCAAGACGTCTCAGCCAAGATTCATTATGGTGTCTTTTGTCTTAGAAGCAATGTGTGGCCTGACATTGTCATGCAACAATTTCACAGGACGTTTTCCTTTGCCAGTATACGGGCGTTTTCGTTCCAATTCCTGACTCAGGCGGATTAATTGGCGTTGGTAGCAATCCGCAGTAACTGTGTTCCACCCAGTTCTAACAGCTCATAATAAATCACGCCCTTGATATCCCACCAAATGCAGAGCAGAATCTTCTTTTCGAAGCGTTTGGGGTTTGCGATCGATGCTGACGATTCGCTGGGATTTACTCATTAATTTTTACATTTCGTTTGTCATAGAGTATCCATTTTTCATCGCTTGTAACAATTTTCCATAAAGAATACTTCCTACGCTTGCTTACTGAGAAAAGAAAAACACGCTATTGCTTGCTAATTTTTGTTGACTTTAGTGAGATCATACAAAAACTCATGGATGTTTTAAACTATTTCTAACTAAGATATGAATTTGTAAACAGCTTACCTAAATATGTACTGCAGTGTTAACAAAATTTTTTCGATATCTTTAACGGCGACAAAGACATCAAAGTTCGTCCTATATCCTAACGAGAGACGCGCTAAAACACGTTGAGGCACGTTACTGTTGCGTCGTTTCTAAAAAAAGGGGGCATTTTATCAACTAGTGAGAGCGTATTGTATAATTTTACCCTACAAACCAGATAACTGATTGGGATCAATCTGATCAAGACCATTCTAGTCGGCTAACTTGCGTTCTCACCCATCACACACTTCGTACTTTATGTCAGTATGCAGTCATATTAAGTAATAACTTCTATTGATTAATTATGTATGATATAATTTTGTATGATGATTAGAGAGCGCCTGAGAGGGTTATTCCAGAGCGCTAAATAAGTGCTACTCTCTCTTTCTCATTATCCTGCCGCGAAATCCCATCGCGTCTCGGTATATTCCGACTTGGCAGCAAGAGTTTCCGCGAGATTTTCCAGCGGCGGGGCCGACGTTCTCGGATCGCTATTAGCGCGATTTGAACAAACGTCAGTCACAAGGAGCCACCACCGTGCTATCTTGTCCTGAGGCGGTGTGTAACGCGAAGGGCCCGCTCGAAACGCTCTCTCGGCGTGGTGCCGCCACGTCGGCGGGGGGTCCGTCGCGCAAATTGATTTGCGTTCACACCCCAGCGGATCCACAGGGCGCAGGATGCGAGTTCAACCCCTCTCCCAGGCCCCCTATCTCTCTCTCTGACTCTCTCTTGCTCCCCCTCTCTATCTCTATCTCCCCGCCGCATTCACCCTTCAGAACCACATCATACATTTATTTACGCATCTCTCTGTTCTACGAGCGGCCGGCATTGTTCGCCTCATTGAATTACCGGAAGCATGTGCTGCCGGTTATCACGCCCGTCGATCGCCCTACTTCGCGTTGTCGGATGCACTGCGGACGCGTTGAATGCACACTGTTTATTGCCGACGTCGTCGACGGAGCGGTAGCCTCCTCTTCCGACCCTTTAGCCGACAGCTCTCTCGTAAACGATCTTTCTCATGTAACATGATGTTATGAATGCTAAGAGGAGGATAAATGACACGTATCACGCCACGGATCGGGAGGAATTATAAATAATTAGTGCAGAAGGAAAGAGCCTCGCCGTGTTAATATTAAAAAAACGAGAAGAAAAAAAGAACATGAAGGTGAGAGTTCATTCATGCTTCGAGTGATCCGCTTCTTCGACTTACGTCATGTTCGCGGAAGACGTCTTCTCACCGCGAAAACTGCCGTGAGTGATTGTCATTTGATTTTATGGTTTGATGCACTTGTTTGATGTGTCCTGACACATACATAGTGAGAGAGAGAGAGAGAGAGAGAGAGAGAGAGAGAGAGCTTAAGAAGAAAAAGCATATAATGTAATAAGCATATGTAATATATACACATGAGATATAAAAAAAGTTATGTATCTTATAAAGTTTCAAAGTTAATCTCTCTCCCCGCCCATTTGTTTTATATTCAGCCGGCTAATAATTATTTCACACGGTGATTCGCCGCGAGGAATTCGTCGAGCTGGTCTCATCCCCGGCGAGAGATCGATCGATCCTTGACGACGACGTTTCATCAACGATCGTCGTAGCGGGCAGGTCGGCGAAATTCAGGCGCACTTGTCGGGAATCCGGGGTGCGCATTCGAGAGATGGTGTTAAATTCGATTACTTTCATTGTTGGACTAACCCGGTTATCCCCCGGAGCTGACTAACGTAAAGAGACGACCGTCCGGGGTCACGTACCTTCTTCTTATCCCTCTTAATCTCGTCCAATCCAGCGACAGTGTCCCCGCCACTTGCTGCCCGGCCTTAAAGGCGTCCTATTTTCCTTCCCTTATTACGCGCCGCACGATATAAAAATCACTACGGCACAAACGAGGATCGGAAAATTGTTTGCGCGATGCGCAATCGTTGGACGGGAATCGAATATTTAACGTTGATGCGATTCACTCGTTCGTTCCCCTCCCTCTAAAAAAAAAAAAAGAAAGAAAAAAGAACAAAGTTTATTAGTCAAAGGTACGATTATCATTAGAGCTAATAGTGTCAGCGAGTGACCCTATTATACTTGCGCGTGTTTTTCTTCTGTTTATGTTTTTCATGTTTTATGTTTTTGTATCTAGTGGGAAAGATTATAAAAGCGAATGCTGAAAAGCGAAACGTCGCGTGTAAAAAAACTTTTTGAACGAAAATAAACCGTCTTCAAAAACTTCAGAAGCCTTAAAGAGTATAAAATATTATTTTAACTCGATATTCTTATCTACAATCCTATTCTGATATTCTAACGATATTAGAAGTCGCGAACCTGACTGATTGAGAATCAATAATCATACTTTTTTTTATTATTTATCCAGATAGATGTTTATGATTATCATAATGTGAGATAATCGATAATGGAAACTCTTTGTAATTCTTTTAATTACATTTATGAAGTAAATATACTGTGTGTAATGAATTAATAAGGTAATTAAATTTACATCACCCAATAAATTTTTTATTGTATTAATGCAACAACAAATTTGCTAAAGGTTACACTCAAATTTTCATATTACATTTAACATAACATATTGTTTGGAACATAAAGTTTGAAAATTTTTCTTTTATTTCTTTTATATTCCTATTTTGTCATTTTATGTGACAAAGTTATAAATGCAATCTGATCATAGATGTAATAGAGATTTTTGATTTGCTGATTATGAATATGAAGTTAAATGTGTAAAATTATTTATATAAATAATAAAGCGTTTAAACAAAACATGTAAAAAGTTGAAAAAAATTATTTATACAAATAATTTCTCGATTTAGCAGAGATTCGAACTATTTTTTACTAATTTAACACAGATTTTAAATATTTCGGTTAAAATATCGGCTAAAGAAATTTAACCATGTCTCAGCTATGTCAATTTTGTTAAAATTTTAATTAAAATTGCCAAATTTCAGTTTGGCCAAGATTTGAACCATGTTTGACTAATTTAGCACAGATTTGAAATATTTCGGTTGGAATCTCGGCTAAAGAATGGTTCGTGTCTCAGCTACGCCGATTTTGTTAAAATTATTTAACTATATCTTGTATTCAATTTTATTTCTTACGCATTTTTGTTGCATTTATTGATGATAGGAATGAGAATATTAAAAAACTATAAATTGCCCGTGAAACTCAAAGTGGGCTAAACTGGGTAAAGTGGGTGGCTAAAGTGGGTGAAACTGAAAAAATATGACCAAAATATTTTTGTACTTCTACATTTGTGCCAAATTAGAAAGAAATCGGAGTGTAACTTTTGGGGGTAGGTTTACTTGTAAGAACCATGTAGATATAACATATTGAACAATCTACAAGAAACTTCATCTGGATATCCCTAACAGTACTCGAGTTATGAGAGAACAAACAAACAGACATACGTACAGGACAAACTGAGAAACCCCTTGTTTTAAAGTCGACTAAAAATAGAAGTATCAATCTGACAGGACATTGTGACTTGATAGATTTTTTAGATATAAAATCAAAGAAGGGAAAAAGGCTTATAAGAGCCAATACACGGAGTAGTATAGTCAAACTAACTGAAACTATTAAAGCAAATGTATGTCCTCTGAATATATGCAAGAATTCTTTCAGAAGAAAACCCATTGAAGGATTGAAACGCGTTTGGTTGGTACTCTAATTTTTATGAAATAAATACTTTCTCCATATATCGAAAAGATATGCACTAACTTTCATAGTTTTAGTTAGCTTGATCACACTACTTTATTAACGTATTGACCTTTATAGGCCCTTTTCCCGTTCTTTAATTTTCGATCCGATAGGAAAAGTTCACGTGCTAAGAATTGTCGAAAGAGAACTTCTGCGACTTTTTTGGCGCACACAATGTGTTTATCATGAATTAACATTTAATGAACATTAAATTTTGGTGCATAGATGTCAAGCCGGTACTGGAAGATGCGTCGTAGACAAGGCGCACCGAAATCAGTGCCAAGCCTGCCGACTGAAGAAATGCATGCAGATGGGAATGAACAAAGATGGTAAGTGGTAGCAAATTAAAAAAACTCGAGACACGAAAACTCATATTAAAGAAATAATTGTACATTCAGAGAGTCAGACAATCAGAAGTGCAACGGTGTGAGCATGAGAGTCGGCGAAGCTTTCGTAAATTGCTACAAGTCATCAAACCATTCGGCATTTAGAAACTAATTAGTCCTCACCGCCGCTTCTGATCTTGAAAAGTTCTCTGTTCGGATGAACACACACCGTTAATTTATCCTCGCGATCGCGTGGCATCGCGGGATAATAACGAATAAAATGACGAATAAGATTGCGTCGTAAAATTCGAAACGCCGTCCAATAAATCTCAGCTAGCTGAAACTACCCCGGTTATCACAAAGTATCAAGGGGATAAAATCAGGGAGAGAGTGTGGGTTGCCCAGGTAACTTATATTTTCTGCAGGGTCCTAGAGAAGAACTATGCAAAATTTGAATTGGTCAAAGGATTCAGGAATGTCTAGGGAACACACATGCAAACAAACAGACAGGCAGACATTCTGTTTTATATATTAGATGTACAAATTAATTCGTGGCCCTCGCGATCAATCAACTGTAACTTTATCTTAAATTCAAATCCCTTGCCCGCGGCACTGGGGTTTCGAGATGCCAACCCTCAAAATGAAAGAACACCATATAACTGGACGCTGTTAAGAGCGGCTGAGTCCGAAACGCCGTCCAATAAATCCCGCGCGTCGACGTGCGTTCTCCGCGTTCGCCGGGATAAAAATCGCCGATGGTTCGCGTTGTTGCGCGCGAATTCGATTCAATCGGAAGGATCTCCCCCTGCGACATCGAGTTCGGCAATAAGAAAGTTATCAGCGGGACAGGCCGAGGGCCGAAGTGAGCGGCCGGAGGGAGGAACAGGAGGAGGAAGGGACGGAGACAGGTGCGCGCCCGCCACGTCTCGTCCGGGAGGTATTAAGAGTTGAATCGGCGGAGGCTGTTCTCTCGGAGCGACCAGACTTCCGCTCGTGCGGGGCTCGCCCCGCCTTTATCCAGTTATTTATGTCGCGAACATAAAGGGCCCTCCGCCCGAATTCCGCTTCCCTGGCGCTGATTGATTCCGGCATTACGACCGTAACCCACGAAAACGGATAATCCGCTAGATCCATAACTCCTATTCGGCGACAATGTCTTCGGAACTCGCGATAGGATCCGACGTCTTCGGTGACGGTGATCGACGCGAGGCGATACCTACGCGTCGCGCCCTGATCGATTGATATACTGCTTCCTCCTGTTCCGCCGAGAAAAAATCTCCCACGCTTGACAAATTCGATCGGGATTGAGTTCCATCTGAAGTATGGCGTGTGATTAATAGAGAAAAATGTGTGAGGCAGACACGCTCGCGAGAGTTTCTCATAGAGATCAAACGTGAACGTCGCGGACGTACGCCTTGACCTTATACGCGTAATCGAATCTTAACCCTCACGCCTGACACGCATGTTCTGGGCACCTCAATCTGCCACTGGGGTCTTTTTTGTCTCAACTTATTTACATTCTGCGAAAGATAAAAAATCTAGAGGAAATAATAAGTATGCTTTAAAGTCTACAGGATAAAATTATGTAGAAGAATGATCGTAAATATTTACTTGAGTTTTTATTATGTTATAGATATAAAAAAAAAACGGGATGAAACCGTGAGTTTGAATTGTAACATTTTTGAAAATAAATTTAAGAAATTAACGCGTGTCAAGGGGATGAAATCAAGGAAAAGATGTGGGATGCCCAAATAGCCTATATTTTCTGCAAGGTTCTAGAGAATAACTATGCAACATTTATGGCTCAAATCGATCAGAGGGTTTAGAAATGTATAGAGAACATACATAGAGACAGACAGACATATTGTCTTATATATTAGGTGTACAAATTAATTCGTAGCCCTCACAATTAATCAACTGTAACTTTATTTTAGATTCGAATCTTTTACTTGCTGCATAATGATTTCGAGATGCCAATCTTTTAAATAAAAAACACCATATAACTGTTGACGACATAACTTCACAAAGCAGTACAACGTCACCCAATAATCAGCATACCAGACACTACATTTTTTGAAATTTAACTGAAAAAGGCTCTTGAGACTAAGGAGATGATTTGTTCTGCTTTGGAGGAAGGTATTGAGATTTACAATACATGTAAAAAGTGATATCAAAAATTTCGGAATAGTAATTTCTTTTTTTTCCTAATCAAGAACGTGGAGTGCCAGAAAAAATTGAAGGTGAGAAATTGTATTAGCTGTTGGAAGAAAATCCTTGTCAAACAACAGGAGCTTGCCAAACAACTTAGTATCATCCAACAAATGAATTCTTATCGATTTATGAAAAAAAGTCACGAATTAATTTATACATCTAATATATAGTTTTAATGTGAAGAAGTAAAATATAACGGGAAGTCTTTATTTTACACTTTGACCTTAATCTAGCACACTGATGCGAAAGACGACTCCAATAGCAACTTTTCTTTTTTGTTTTATGACAGACAATCGAAATGATTTAAAAACTCATATATTCCCGCCAACTATAACTTTTTTCGAGCGTGAACCGAAGACTCTTGTTTATTGTGCGGGTAATTCAAAGTCCTAATGTGCCAGATTAGGGTTAATTTGTATATATATTGTCGATAAAGTATACAACCGCGAAAATACAAGAATCAAATTTGCTGACCTCAAGTTTGCTGAGATACCATCGAATTAGAATCCATAAGAGAAGGGAAAATCAAAGTTACGGCTACTCGATGGATAAACTCTTGTAATTCTTCGGAAGAGTTCGCACGTCGCGTTTCGAGTGTCTACGGGGAAGGTGACCGGAATAATTACAACGAGCCGTATTAGCGCGCGCGCGCGCGCATTAACGGAAGACACGTTTTCGTGTGACAAGCGCCGAAAGGAGGAGGACTCGTGGCGTCCGCCGCGCTTTAATGGACGCGCGATTAGGGCACTCATTGTCGCCGGCGTGTAACGCCGGGCGCAATTTTTCCCGGCTTCCCTTTTAGCGGCCCGGGCACGGGCGCGCGGTAATTTCGTAATAATAAAAAGCGTGCCGGCTCGCTTTACCTCCGGCTTGTGCGGCCTGCTGGGCGGCTTAATGGGGGTCCTCTTGCTTCGTCGGGCCTCCGTTTCTTTTCTCCCCTTTCGCCGCCTCCTCCTCCTCCACCTCCGCCGCCGCCGCCGCCAACACCACCACCACCGTTCTGTCGCTCTTCCTCTCTGGCCGTGTCTCCCGTGTAGAGGAGATAAACGCCCCCGTGCATTTTGTTTCTGTTTAATTTGCATGCACCTCGCTGCGAGAGGCCGCCCTGCTTTTTGTCTCCCCTTCCCACGACTTCTTTCCTCGCTCGTTTAACTGACGAGCGCGCCTGTTTGCTCACTGATGCGTACGCTCAGGATTCTCCGCCGTTATTTTTGCTTGATCCTTAATTTGAACAGGCAACGCGAATCTTCTTTACGTATCTGCGTCCTAAAGACCGGCGTAATTTTCAAAATAAGATACTGTCATTCTTAAGTCTCTCGTCAATACGGCAATTAGTGTACCGTTGTGGGTTTTGTGTGCAGGAATAAATATGTCGACAGGCTATACGTTTTTAGTGAAATGATAAGATAATTCCTAAGTTTCTTGGAGTGAAATCTCACTTAATACAAGCGAAAGCGGCAGAATTTTCACTCGAAGCGATAGTGGAAATATCACCACTCGAAATTAACGCAAGAATAACAATCCGTTCGCATGTTACGATTTGTTTACCGTATCGGTGTCAACTAATGCAGTGTTCAGACGATTCGATTTTGTTACCGTACGCCCACTCTCCTCCCTCTCATGTTTCCTTCTTCACGTTCATTTAGTATTATTAACTTGGGCAAGATGGATGTAAATATGTTTCTGATCATATACAGGTATCGCCGTAAAAAAAAAAATTAAAAAGAACTAATAGAAGATATTGGTTACATCCTATTGTGAGGCAGAGATATAATTTTTTTTCTTCAACTAAACTTATTAGAAGTTCTGTATTTATATTCTCCGTTAATGATATTCGTAATGAGAAGAGTCTCAAATTATACGTGCGTATAATTGCCCCGTATAAACGGGCTGTGAACACCGTCTGCCGATACGACAATTCGGTTAAACAACTGAACCGTCTGAACGTTTCCACTACGATATATGCGCCACTAGTGATCGATTCGGTTTTGTTACCGAATCGCAACATACGGTTTGCGTTGGCAAAACCGAATGTCAAAAATCACCAAATCGGTTATTTTACTGTGTATAGTCGACGGCAACATCGTGTGAACACGCACATTAAAATATATGCGTCACTACAGAAGACGGCAAGAAAACCGATTCGGTGTTGTGTGAACGGACTGTAAGTGTTTCACTGAAGCTTAAATTCAATTCTGACTCCATGCGAGTAAATGTTTCGATTAAAATTACAAACTGAAATGCTTTTAATCACTCAAAAAGCACTCAAGAGTGAAAGGGTTAAGCTTGATCTACAATATGCTCTTTGCTTCCTGCTTCTTTTTTACCTCTTTTTGACTCAAATCTTAAGCTTTAAGCCAGAAGACAAGAAACAGAACGCAAAGAGCATATTGTAGGTCAGACTTTAAGAAGATTTGGTTGTAATAATAGAATTGCAATTGCTTGTACAGAGAATTACAAATACTTAACAAATAATACAATTGCAAATACTTATACCGAGTGAAAGTACAAATTCCAAAACATAGCGGGAAGAGTATCCCATATATATATATGTATATAAACTTTATAAAATTTTTTATAAAATTTTTAAAATTTAAAAAATTTTTTGTTTACAAATTTTTCTTTTTATTAATTTTTTTCTACATAACATGACATGCTTCTTCATACATTGACATTTGTACTTTCATTCTGTATAACTATTTGCAACTCTAAACAACCAAATACAGGAACAATGCAAAATACGAAAGCTGCATCATATCGATGTCCAGCATTCCTTTCCTTTTATGATCTCT